ACTCTGCGCCTTCCCTGTGCTATGGCAGACAAAAACATTGCTGGTATCATGATGATACTAGATAAAAGGGCCCAGTAATTCTGCAATGTATAGTTCTAGTGAATTAATTGAAATATTTGCAAAACTTGGCTGCAAGTTTCCTAACACAGGCCTGTGTTTATGTAAATACGGAAGTGGCAAAAAGAAATGGTCTTTCATTATGATTAACCTATAACAACAGTACAGCTTATAAAGGCTTCTGTAAAAGCAAGAAAGAAAAAAGTTAAGCCAATATTTTACTATAGAACCATACTGCAAATGTGCTCTCTCTTGCTCACAAACAAGATTTTCCAAAAAGTGTTTTTCTGAAAGAACAAGGAGCCGTTCTTGCAGCATCTCTCCAACAGTGTCATTTTGAAAATGTTTTTCTCATTTTCCAACGCCTCAAACTCAACTATGAAATCAGAAGCACTAGTTGAATACTAGCTAATGCATACACTGTCATAGACTTAGAAACTATTCCAATAATCCATTACATTTTAACTAAATAGGCTCTGGATAGTCAACAGAAGTCAAAAATAGACATATCACATTTCTGGCACTAACAGAGCACGTCCACAGTTCAGACCAGCACTCTGCACAGACGCTCAAGCTCAGTCTAAAGGATCGCACAGAGTACCTAAAGCACTTCACGTGTATTTGAGGGTAATGTGCCATGCCAACCGCCCAGGACAGGACGGCACGCTAACACAACTAGCCTGCTTCCAACACTTAAGCTAGTTCCCTTGAATATCTCCATACAGCCTTGAATTGTGCGGAATACCTGAATTTCAAATTAAACAGGTGTGTTACTCAATGCATAAGGGGAACTTCTCCCATGAATAAGGTACCACTTCTTACACAATAGTTTTTTAGAACAGAATCACGCAGAGTTCAAGCTGTGGGTAACAAAGTCCTTGCGATATTGAACAGGCAGATGTTACTGAAAGCGCGAAATCCAAAACAAAGCAACACATTACCATTTTTATCCATAGAATGGGGCTCAGATTGCTTCTTTCCAATATCAGCAAAGGATCTCACAATTGGGATCCTGTTGCTCAGCTTCTTCTGGTTCTGATGGTGATGCTGTTTCAGTAATGCCTCATGCACTCTGTGACGAACATCCTCACTGAGCTGGCCAGAACCCACCTGCTGGTCCAGAATCATATCTGAAAATACATACACAAACATAGTAACAGAGGGAAAAGAGGAAATATTTTGGTTTTTTAAATTGCAATAATAAGAATTAGTACCCTATAGGATTACAAAGGAAAGGTATCAGATCCTTTAATGTGATAGAATTAAACGGTTTCAGTTTTATCTAGTTTTATCTAGAAATGTTTCACTCTCAGAAGAGAAAAAAAAATCAAATAGGATGCTATTAATGTAAAAAAAAGTCAATCCATCAAAAGATACGCAGTTCCCAAATTAAGGTCACCTATGTAACTTCAAAATCACTCCCTAGGCACTCCTATACGTAATGCATTTAAACCTGGGATTATGATGTGTATAAGGTGTCTTTTTTTTCCCAAATAACCCCTACACTATTTGCTACAAAGACTGGCATGCTGTAAGGAAACAACTTTTTTATTCCCTTTATACTTACCACAGGAGATCATGGTCTAGCTCTTTATTTCTTGTAACTAAAATTACAATACTTTCAGTACAATATAAGGAAATTTCAGATAAGACAGTACAGGAAAATTTGCTGCATTATTTGGAAATACTTAATAGGATTTCATTCTACTGCTGGATGTACATGTTCCTGCAAGAGAATCATCACATGGAGGTGTGAGTGAAATTCATCCCCCTGCTAAGAAATTACAATCATTTTTGCAGTGTACTGGCAGAAAATATTCTTACATATTCACGTTCAAAAGTATTTGTAAATATGTGCATTATGTATTTCAAATGGAAAAGACTTGTTGAAAATTTTGTGGGCTTTTTAAAATTATTATTTTGGGAAATCCTGCTAGCAACAGTAATAACACTTAACACAAAAAAGAAAGGAAAAAAATAAATTTTGTATCAAAGCAAGTAAAACAGCATTTAAGTACACACTGTCCTTGTATATCCATTGGAAGAAACTGCACTGCACAAAAATAGTGATATAATAAGCTGAGTCAAAAACTCCTTGTACTGAAAGTTCAGACAGCTCATGATTCTGTGCTGAAGTAAGATTCACATCTACCAGTAAACTCAGTGGAAAGGCAAGCAGAGCAGAAAAAATAAAAAGCAGATGCATCATCTGTGGAGACATAATTTGTCAGGTCTTTGATAATTACCAAAAGCAAGATAAAAGAAGAGAGATAATAAAAGGCATTAAATAATTATGCTAGTTAAAAGCAGAGTTTAATTGCTAACGGTCAACTATGCACTGTATATACATTTAAAAAACACAACAGTTTTTCTAAAGTTCTCAATATCCACACAACAAGTCGAAGTATCATATACATGGCCGCTTTAAGAGCTGAAAAACAAATTATCTGCATGTTTCACTCACTATGAAGAGGTCACCAACAAATCTGTATCTCTACAATGACACACACACAAAAAGACAAAGCTACATCCACAGATAAATGCAGCTGCCAACGGATGCAAACATGAGAAATCTATCTGCATCTCGCAACGAGAGTGATGCAGAGGTTTTCCACATCGCCTTTGACCCTCTCCAGCAATCACATTCTGCACAGAGTTAACAACAGTGTTAACCAAACGGCTCACACCGAAGAGTAATACTGCCTGGTAGTCTGCCTAAATGAATAAAATCTGGTTTTGGGGTGCTTCACCTGACTCTGAAGGGAACTTTTATCTCCAGGGTTAACTCACACATCACCAGGTCAGTTACCTCTGCACTCGCAGTTTAGGCAAACACAGTTTTTCTTTTACTCTAGATTCTCATGGAACAGATGGAGAGGCACAGCAGCAAGATGAGGGATAGAAAGGCAAAAGAGAAGGTAACACAAGTTCAAGTATAATTTTTTCAGAAGGAGCCAAGAGTTTGCAACACATGAGAAAAAGAAAAGAAAGCTCCAGCTCCATGAAAAATACTCATCTTCCTGTTCAACTCTACTGCCTTTTAAAGAATTCCCTGTGCCCTGAGGATGAGACTTCCCTTTAGTCAGCCTTAGTACATGAATTTGCATGTCACAGCTCCCAAAACAGGCCAGTAATTCCTATAACATGACAGGGGATCTCTAGAGGGGAAAAAAAAATATATATATATAAATAAAACTTTGGGCATCTCTCCCTCCTCCTCTTTAATTCTGCTGACCAAAGGATAAATTGTAGAAGATGAGAAAACAAAGATTACCTTCTTTGGACTGCTCTAAGACAGAAATCAAAAGGAAGAGCTGAAAAAAAGGACTCCTCTAGAACAGGCAAATTTAGGGTTGTGGTCATCACTTTGCTTACAGACCAGTGGAACTCCACTTGTATGGTCTCATTCCTGGAATTACAGTATTTTCCATATTAAATATTAAAATATATTAACTGCTTAGGATTATGCCAATATTTAAGATGATACACTTGAGAAGAGAAAATGCCAGGAACGAGAAAATCGTACCGCTATCCTCTTCCTTACCTGGATGCTCTGCTAGACTTGTTAACAGTCACACAAGCCACGGAGTTAGCATCAGTGTGGTGACTAACAATTATCCTTTCCTGCCAAACTGAGAAGAAAGTGGCTTACCTTGAGTTTTCTTTTTTTACAACAACTTCCCCTTTGCTCTAGCACCTCTGCCACATGTAAAAAGGGAAGATGCATTCAGATTTGGAAAGAGAGAAGACATGTTTTCTTGCCTTGGTAATCTCCAGTTGTCATTCCTTTAATACAGACCCACTTGCAGGAGCAGCTGTAGGAGCTTAACTGCACTCAAATTACTGCCAGATTGCTTTATTTTCACCATTTTTTCAAGACCTGCACATATCTGAATAGTAGTTCAGAATAGTAGTAATAAAGAGTGTCTCCATCAGCACCTATCATTATGGGATTCCACTTCAGCTTCTTCCCATGCTTTTCAACATATTTTTAAAAGCCTGAGCCTCTGCAATGTCAATGATAACACTCTTGGATTGCAGAGATAAGCTTGAAAACAAGAGCAACACAGTTACAGTTGGAGAGTAAATGGCAAACAGGAGCATTTTAAACACCTTGCTTTCAAAACAGACTCCTTAATCCTGTGAGAAGATCCTACATGCTGCCACCAGTTGAAGCTGCACCTATTTTTCAAAGCCCTGTTTTTCACTTTTGCATCTAGAGTGCATGACTATTTCTCTAACCTGTATATGACAAAACAGAGTAAAGAATACAGACTTGAAACTTCATGGCACTGTATCTTAGCTATGTTCCTCTGGAACAACGGAGACTCTCCAAGGTTTCTATGCTCAGCAACAAAAGTTTGGGGAAATTTTTGTCCTGTTTTGTTTTGTTTTAAGGAATTTTCCTCTTGAATGACCCTTTAAATTCTGTGGACCCTCTTTCTAGCCAGAGACACAGCTTACCATTAAGTTGTAGGGAGATGGGAGTTGGTCTCTTCTCCCACTTTATGAATGACAGGACAAGAGGGAATGGCCTCAAGTTGCACCAGGGGAAATTTAGGTTAGATATCAGGAAAAATTTCTTTACAGAGAGGGTTGTGAAGTATTGGAACAGGCTGCCCAGGGAGGTGGTGGAGTCCCCATCCCTGGAGGTGTTTAAAAACCGTGTAGATTTGGTGTTGAGCAATATGGTTTAGGGACCCTGACAGTGCAGGGTGAATGGTTGGACTCGATGATCTTGAAGGTCTCTTCCAACCAGACGATTCTATGATTCTATGATTAGATTTTTCAAGGATGCTTCACAACCATATGGAGCTTTCAGCAAGATGCAATGTGTGGAATATGATCAGGATAGTGTTACCCATTCCATTAATTGCTTACACCATACTATTTCTGCTGACATCAGGAACACTGAAGTAGGATGTTTCTTCAGTAAGGAATCTTCGTTCATACTGGAACCATGTTTTTTCAAGCTGTTAAAGACAGATATTCTTCCCGCTCTGGTAATTTAAAAAGATTCAAAGAAACTTGGGGTTTCATACAATTTCAAGAATGTTTTCTCCATTCATACTTAGTTACAAAACATCATTTACATAAGATTCATTTTGTGAGTAAATGTGAGCAAGTACTTAAGCTATTGTAGTAACTCAAACGTAACTCATCACCTGTGAACAATTTACCCAGGCTGTGAATTAGAGCACCAGGGATGCAGAAGTTTCAAATCAGTTCAAACGCAGCACTGCTCATGTGTTGCCCAGCACAGCAAACTGTATCTGTCCCATCTCTGGGGTTGGCAAGGACACAAAAGCAGGTTGGCTGCTTCCGCTTACTCTGAAGACAGCTATCTGCAGCTTTGTACAGAGACATGCGGCCACATTCAGGTGGAGCCATCCCAGGTCCAAGCAAATGAGGAATAAGGAGACACTCAAATGTGACCACAGCTTGTTCCCAGGTTCACGGCGTGCCCATCACCTCCCATACAATACTACATGAAACACCCAGGTGAACCATAATATAAAAACGGAGAGGTATGCTGCATTTGCACCAAAACAAGTAAGCAGGCTACACTGCACCTGACTTTTGCAGTGGGGAGTAAAGAAACAAGATCCAGAACGCTTCCCCGCCCCAGCTGTGTACCAGATGACATGTAAGTTTTGAATTGCTGGGCTCATATTCTCCTAACACAGGATGGCACCGAACAGTTTATAGCAGAAGAAACGGATCTCAGTATGTACCAGCAAAGTTGCCGGTATTGACACCTCTTAATCTTCCAAATTTTATAACCGTGCTGTCGCAGGACAAAATGAAAGATTAATGACAAAAAATAGAACACATGGGCTTTTGTGTGCGTCATGACTGCAGTGACAGTTGACTACAAAACCTAATTTAAAAGCCAAGGTTTCCTTGGTTTGTGATTGTTTTCTTTCCCATAAAGACAGGGAAGAAGAAAACACAAGCAACCCTATAGCAGTGCTTTATGGAAGGCATTCAGTTGAAATGCTGTCCTTTATCTTAACCTGTCTCTAATAGGAACCCAAATTTACACTTCCCTTGTGAGTTAGGCACAAGGAGCAAAAGAAAACTAACAATTAGGATTCTTGGGCTGCATTTGTGAACCAAGACCTGTTTA